CTCCGCGTCGATGTGTTGAAATCGCAAGGCAGTTGTGGAGAGTAGCCTTCCCGGTTCAGACACAATCCACAGAGAAATGGGTGTGTTAAAACAGACCTGGAAGAAGAATGGTAGGGGGTCTTCCTATTTAAAAACACACCCAAAGGGTGCTGGAGGAGATGCCATCCGCTTTCGAACGAAGATCTCAAGGCTTGGACAGTGGAGAGAAGGGGGGCTGATCACATTATAGTATAGGATAGTATAGGCGGTATGTGTATATATTATATATAGTTATTAATATTATACATTGGCTAAATTGTGTTAAATGCGTTACCCAGGCTTGACCAAATTGCTTCCTGCCGAACGGTTCGATTCCACATCCATGTCAAACTTTGCAGGCGAAAAGGATGCCGGTGGCGTGGTGGCGGTGGTGGTACCTAGGACTGAAAACAGCTGGCTACTGGGGCGAGTTGGGCCACGAGCCGCGGGGGTGTTTCCGCAGGCCACTTGCGTGCAGCTGGTCTCCACTCTGGGCACGACCGGTGTGGAATGGGTCTCCACGGTCTCCACTGATTTGGCTTAATCCGAATTGATTGCAGAAGGAAAGGTGGAGGAGCAACCCATGCAGCAGCGAAGAGCGAACACAGCTAGGAAGGATGGCCAAGTGTTTGGTACACTGCGTAAATTCATGTTTCTATAAGATGATATCGGATCCCTTGTAACCCCACAATGGGCCAGAATGAAAGCACGTGGTCTTGCTCCGGTTTGCACGAAGTTGACGCTTGGAGTGAAGAGGTCCTGTTTACAAGCATACCATCACACACACTGACCATCGGGGGTGCAAGGGCTCAAACTGACCTGTTGGCAGGACGGACACTTCGATTGGTGCACTGTCCTCTTTTTGCCAGTGCAGTGGCTGGACATTGTGCGACCTCCAATAGATCATGGCGCTAGAGAGTCAGTGGTGTATGATACCCCAAATCATGGAACATCCCGATTTGGAAAGGGTATTGCTAGAACATACAAGTGTTTGAAAAAAAAGGGAACATCAACTTGTTTTGAAATGTTTTGAATACGTTTTCTCGTATATCGTCGTTTGCTGGTCGGGTCAGAAGAGGATAACTGTAGGAATGTCGTAGAAGTGATCATGGAGAGTGAGAAAAGTCCCTATGAGAGGCCATGGACCATGGCATTGGGACCGAAGTGGTCGAGTGGCAGAATTGCCACAGTTGCAAGGCCCAATGAACCACACTCTGGTCGACCTAAACTTGATATGTTGATGCTTGAAGTTCCTCCAAGAAAATGAGCAACGCACCAAGCTGAGGACAACCCCCCCTATCTTTTGATCAGGTCATTGTTGGATTTGTGCCTGAGGTGTTTTGGCTGAATTGGAATACATTTGACCTTTCCAGCGCGCCAAAGTTGAGAGCTTTTTGTCCGTTCGCTAATAGGTGGACTAAACTTGCTTGGATCCAGGTCGCAGTGATTGTCCAACCCTGTTTTCGGTGAGTCAGGTTTCCCATTTCCGCACCCTGGAAGAGATGGATGTCTCCATCCAATGGGAAGCGAGTTCTCATCATGACACATCCAGTCAAACGGATGAACTCCATGGATGGGGTCGTCTCTTCCATCAGGGTCGCGCAACCGAAAAATGCCCAAAAACAAAAGATGTGCTTTTACCGTGGCCCAGAAGTTTTGCCCTCCGCAATTGGAGGCGTTGCAGGACGAATTTGCAGACTCTTCTCGGGTGGGCCGACCTCTCCGGAGTTCTCTCGAACCGGCTTGGCTTTTTCAGCCACAAGCTCGAGAGCGCTCTGGCTTTTCGGGTGAGGCGGTGGATTTTCGTTTGGACTGGGGGATACCCGTGACGGATACCCCGGAGATCACCGATACCCGGAGATCACCGATACCCCGGAGATCCGATCGAAGCGGACCTTTTGCAGCAAATGGCGCCGTGGTATCCAATGCACAGGGGCCCTCTGGTGTCGTACCCGAGGAGGGCTCTAAGGGGGGATGGTCGACATGGAATGGGCGCAGATGTTTGGTGTCTGGAGCAGAGACGTGTAAGACAGATGTTTGAGGTGTCTACTGAGAGAAAAGGAAAGATAGGAAAGACCCAAAGCCAGAACAGTCTGAGATTGGGAGTGCCTCGGAAATCTCTTCTTATCAAACTTTCCTGAAGGTGTTGCTGTTTGGGCTAGCAATGTCAAACATTATTTATGTAAAGGTTCTGTGCAGATGACTACCGAGAATCAGCAGGTGTTCTTTGGAGCATTGCATGTGCGGCATTCTGTGGCTACCTGGTGAGAAGAGGAAGAAGAAGAATCGTCTTTGGGAAAAGAAGGTTTGCGCTTTTCATGTCGTCCACGGCGTAGATTATTGGAATGAAGATGATCTTCAACCAAAATAACTGGATCAGTGGAATGAAGATGACTGGTGCGTGCGCTGATGTAGATGCTCGTTTGCAATTAGCCGCTGGTAACACAAGAGGGTTCTGCAAAGGCACTGCTATTGCTCGCAGAACCAGGCATACCAGGTATACTGTCAATGACTCTGAGCAGTTGCTTCCACCACTCACTTCTAAGTATGTTAGTCTACACCCACCCCCAGTACCTGCCCCCTCATACCGCTTTGCATCCAAGAAGCCTCCTAACTGGCTGTTGCTGCTTGGGGCCTGGTGTTTGGTTCACAAAAGAACAGAAACGCAAACGACAGGGGACTCACAAGAATCAGATACCCTCTAAACCCCTTTAGCAAGGTTCCAATACCTTTGAAAACGACAGGGCACTCACAAATCTGAGGATTATCACCAGCTGTGGATATTTTTGGTGGATATATTCATATTATATATTCCACACATGACATGAATGGTCTGTGTTTGGGAACATCGATTGCAGCCCTGTTTGAGGTTTCTCCAACTCCGCTCGTCTCCGCTTTGACCAAGGAAAAGGGCCACGCGAACGAGTCAGGTCTACAAAGAGTTTGCGAACGACACTTGGCGCGCGAAGGTGCGCTCTCTTTGCTTTGGATGCTGACCCTGTACAGAAGCTCGGCAGGAAGCTTGGGCGGTCCCCCAAACGGTGAAAGGACGGCGTCCTCGGTGAGTCTGGTTGGTGATAAAACCAACCTCCTTTAAATGTCTGTTCAAAGGGCTTAATTTAGAGGTCAAACAAAAGGACCGACAATCTACAATACATGACAAGAACCCACACATGTCAAAATATGTCAAAATTGGTCAGGCACAATGTACCGTTGACACAATGGTTCAATTGTGGGTTATTGTTCAGATTCCTTGTCAATTTGCGGTATCAGTTTCATTGGTGCTTCGTGTTTCATTTGGAATTCTGCAGGATCGAGATGAATTCTGAACACGGGCTCCCTGGTCGTCAGAACAAACTTCATGTATATATATATAACAGGCACAGAATATGACAAATTACTTTGTAAGATCAGAGAAGAAAGGCCTCTTTTGGTGTTTCTGAGTCGTAGCCTGTGGTGGTTTGTTATGATGAGGATGAGTCTCTCCATACGGTTCGTGCAGGATGCCTTCCAGAATGGAAACCCCTTCGTTTGACGGTCAAATCCAAAATGGTTGTGTTGAAGGGGTTTTCACTCTGGGGTGAACAGCACAAGGAGTCGTTTGGGCCATCAACTCTCGATCAGATAGCCTCCACCACACCCTTTGACCACCGAAAACCCACCGAAACACACCGGTGAGCCCTCGGGCTGCGCTCGCTCCGCGCCTGGCTGTGCCCAGGATCACGGTTCATGCATCGCTCAGTTTTAGCATCTTTTAGCGTTTCACCATGGGCCAGGCTGCCACAGGGTCCCCGCAGAGTTCGCCCACGGGAGTTCAGGGACCTGAGAAATGCTGGCATGCTTTTTGCAATTCGAACCTAACATTTTTCCCCTTGGAAAACCTTACCCAGTGGTCGGCATCGAAGTTGGAGTCATAGGTGGATCCTTGTTTGTCGCGGATCTATACAAGACATATCAAAGCAAACACTTGGGTGTGTCCCCGTTACCAGTAACAGTCAGCAAAAGATGAAAGGCCTGCAACTGAACCATCATCGTCCACTGGGTCCTGGTAATTGGATATATAACTTATATAATAATCCAAAATATGTTGGAAAAAAAGGCTGATTCGATGGGCGCTGGAAAAACCACAGCAGGGGACCCTGTACAGATCATCTCTGAGATGGATCCTGAGACTTGTTCGAGTTCTTTTGATTTGGCTGCAGTCTCCAGCTATCCCTTCCATGTTGCTAAAAAGACAAACACAAATCCAGTGGGGCTTCGCTGCAAACTGCCTGCGTTCATTGAGTTTCTTAGAGCCCTCGGTCTTCGTTTCGTCCTTATTGTCGACTCTCGAGGCAGCGATTGAATCGATTGGGAACTAACTAGATCCAGCCTCCCTCCAACATCCTGATGGAAGTTTCTAGATCCGTAGAAGAGACCAGCAATGACCAGTTCTTTGCCTCTCAGCAACACACTGGATGTCACTGGACACAGACACACCATTATATAGTCACTAGACGCCCAAATGGGGGTCTCACGGGTGTCTTCATGAACATGTCCTTCGAAGTGTGGAGCAGATACAACATGATACAACTACTATATAAAAGCTTCCAAATGACGTCTTAGAGACTATTCACACGTTTTGATCACGAAGCAATCGTTTCTGTGGTGTTTACCTTCAACCAACCACGAGAGACTTTAACCAACCACGAGAGACTTGAACCAACCAGGCCAATCCTTCTTTTGGTCTAACCAGAATCTGCTGACTTTTGACCATCTTGGAGATGTACCTGGCTGAAAACCCTCGTGTAATGCGCTTTCCAGTCTGCCAAACTGTTTGGGATGTAAATCCCAATATCAGCATCATGTCATTCGAGGCCCCTTAAAGTGAAGGTCACAGTGAAGTACCGAGGTATACAGTGAAGTATTTAAGGTATACATAGGTATACAGTCAGTGACCAAATTGGCAAATTTGAATTGTAGAATGTCCTACACCATTTTGGCAGACTTGCGTGACAGGGCTTGAAGCAGCACTGCAAGAGTGTCATGTAGGTATGCTGTTCACAAACCATCTCAGTTATGTTGGATCAATGGGTGGTATTCCCACAGCTACTCTCGAAGCGAACGTTGGTTCCGAAGGAACATGTTTCTTCACATTTGGGACGATCAAGAAGGGCCAAGATTCTTCAGAGTCTTTCCGTGGTGGCAGTTTGGAATTGGGACTCCTTTGCGCGTTCGATACACAGCACAGATCAGTCCAAGGATTTTGCAGGTTCACAGCTGCCTGAACTTGGAATCACGGGAATCCGCGAGAGAGCCGCAGTATCTGGAAATCTGAATGGCGATCCTTGGGAGAGCCTATATAAAGGAACGACTGGTGACGACTGGGAGAGCCTCTTTTCTTACATTCCCTACTTTTGGTAACTGGTGAGATGCGAGTCGGAGGAAAAAGCAGGAATCAAGACATGAAGGGCCAGGTTGATCAATCATCAAGACAGTACAAAGACTTGAGAGTCTACTGCAATGCCCTGCTATTTTCTGCTTGCCACTGATTTCAGGTTTATGATCAATGTGAATCAATGACTTACATGGGTAGAGGTGACATGGGTAGAGGTGACCTGGTCAGTGACCCGTGGGGAGTACTGATGGCCTTCATCTGTTCGCACGAGACCCAATTTTGCCACTAGCTGGAGCTTAGGAGGGAGTATCCATATTCTCCTTTAATCCGGGAGCAATGAGCAAAGGAGCTGCGGGGAGATCCTAACCATTCCTAACCACTTGCTAGTTAAAATCCGGGACAAGGTGAGGAACCAGAGTGACCTGAATAAACCAGAAAAAGCGACCCAAATTCACTCCTGCAAGATTGCCATGCTCGAATCACGAATCGGGAGGTTTTGATGAGTGACCCTGAGCATTCAAAAGTTTTTCAGACTGGTTCACATCCAAACATGAGACTCAAGTGACTGTATATCTTTGGACAGTTCTTCGGAGCGGTTGAGCCTTTCGAAGACCCCAAACCCTTTCCATTGTCCACATTCCAGCCGTTGACCCGTTTCACGCGGGCGGCTTTTTCCGGACCGTCCGAGCTCGTCGCTCGACCGGAGGAACCCCGACCGACCGGACCAGCCGCGCCCGACGACGCGCCACCTGGCGCATCGGACTGAGACGAAGTCGTGGCCTTCGTTGCGGCCGTAACCCCCTTGGCGCCCTTGGCCGCTGCTGCCTTCACAGGAGAGCGGCAGAGCCGTGTGAAAGATCCTCTCCATAATCAGAGTTTGGGGGGGTGGAACCAACACGCGAAGAGATGCGAAGAGTGCAAACATGTTATGTTCACCCTCCAGGCACATGATTGCACATGTATTTAGGCATGGATTGTAACATTGTCTAGAACCTGCGTCACCTCTATTTTGAACGACCTTTTCCCTATTCAAACAGGGGTCAAATTGGTACACATTACACCAAAAGAAAAGGAACCCACATGTGAAGTTTGTCCCCGGTCGCTGCGTTTTGCCCGCCCCAATCTGATGCTTTTGTTTCGGGAGCTTTGATCCAGGCTCTGGTGGGTCTACCCAGGGTTTTGGCCCACGCCCCAGGGGTTTTGTCACACGGAGTCCGTTTGGACGCGACGGCGGAGGAGTCATGCCCAAGGAAGTTCCCCAGGAAGTATCAGAGTTTCATGGACCCTTAATATTTGGAAGATCCGGCACTGCCAAAAAGAGGGGCCGTCCCGCTTCACTCGAACCTTGTGGCGCTAACAGTTGGAAGATCCTGGGGCTTCGGAGGTCTCCACCACTCGACTCGACAAGCTCAGTGTCCCAGGCGACCAGGGACCGAGCAGAGCGCCTCCGCCGCTCATCACACAACCCCCACCGCCGAGGACATTTCCAAACGCATGGGCCGCAATGGGTACATTTTGAGATTGGGAGACCTCCATTTTCAACATGTTTCAACCACTGGCAAGAGAACACAAAAAATCCAGTGGTGCGTGAGGTTGTCCTATTCTAATACATTCCAATATACACGAATTACAGTAAATCATACGTATAAATCCACACTGGTCGCCGAAATGACTTGTCAGACATGACAAGGGGGTGGGCACCTGCAGGTCAGATGCACCGGCGGGCCGATTGCTTTTTGGGGCATCAGCGCTGGACATCCCGGGTGGACCGTTACGAGTGCTCCGGGCTGTGTAGACCACTAGATTCAGAAGGTCTCCACCGGCTTTGAACAATGTATTTGTGAAATCTTGAGGAAGACGACTTCACGGCCTCATGCAAGCTGGCATGCATGCCTGCAAATGATAGAGTCTTGAACCCAATTACTGTATGTCATCTTCTGATAAAATTGTATTAGATATCTATGGACGCCAACCCTGTCACAACAGTCTCCGTGTTTTTCCTCGCTTATATATGGTGGCTTTACATGTTCAAACTCTCATGGTTCACACCGGAGTCGCATCCATGCTTTGCTCCCGGAGCCATCTGGGTTGCGATACTGCCATCTGCCATCCGATGATGTCAGGGTCCAACGTCCACAGTCGCCTTTGAAGGAGGCCCCTGATCTGAAGATCAACGGAACGGGGGGGGCCCCCGATCAGCAAGGGACACAGATCTTGCTGCAAAAAGGCCGAGGAAGCGAGCGCGGTTCGCCAAACGGCGAGATGAGGCGAGGCGCGGATGCGGACTGGCAATGACAGGATGAGGCAGTGCTGGGACATGTAGACCAGTGTAGGCCAATGTATTGGTTTTTCACCAAAGCTGCCAAGGGCGGGGGCACCGTGCGTGGTTGGGGGCTCTAAATGCCAGTGAAGTGCCAGAGGTACCACAGAGGTTTACTGGTTTTGCAGAGGCTTTACAGATGCTCACTCCTCTTTTAAGAAGAGTTTGACACCAAAAATATCGGCAGTATAGGACTCTGGACATCTCTGAGATTCTCTTGACATCTCTTGCCCTTGCACCAGCCACGCAGCTGTTTCTTTTGGGCGCCACGCAGCCACGCATCTCTTGCAGTGATGGCATCTAAGCTGCGGTTTGGACGGACTGGCACCCCGAAACGTCACCGAAAGGCGCTGAAACTCCAATACGGTGTCGGGGAAAAAGGACTAGATTCCCCTCTGTATTCGAGGACGTTTTGCCATTGTTTACACTCCCTTTTCAAGACTCACGGGCCAACGTGGGTGGCATGGCCCCGATTTGGGATGACCATTTTCCGAATACCAAACAGGTGTTGCCATCAACTTCCATGTTATGAACTCAGAGTGTACCTGTTCTCTTTCAGTGCATTGTTTACCTACCATGAACTTCGTCTCTAGTCAAGTTTAGCCCGCACCCGTGTTGCAAGAAATGGATTGATCGGTCGATGTTCAGCTTCAATGTGGTTTGTGGGGTGTTATCATTTGTAGCTTTGAGACGCGCCCAAAGGAGTTTTGTGTGAAAGATTGTGAAGTGTTTGTTTTGTATTTTTTTCTGGCCTTGTGCTGCCTGCGGTTCTTGTAGGTTTGGTTTCTGCTCTTGCTTGTTGTGGTTTTGAGCTTATTGGCACCTATTGACCTGATGGCAGTTTGTTCTGACTGTCGATACAGTTGACGTTGTTGTCCATGTTGACTGCACTTCTGGAAAGGATGACCCGGATGACCCTGTTGCTTTGGTTGTCCAAACAAGTAACCCTCTTGATAAGTATATATATAACTATATGCATATGTACAATACAGCTCACAGATGATCCACTGAGGCTTTGAGCCGGCTGAGCACCTTGAGACGAACTTGGATCCAGGTGAGTTGGACTGCGAAAAGGGCAAAGTGTGCGGAGTAGCGGGGTCCAGGTACACTCATCATGATCATTGTTTCAGGGAGACTAGATGGGATTGCATCCTTCAGGCACCCTCACTTCCCCCCTGAAAGGACTTTTTTCAACCACCCAAACCGCAGCCCAAGTGGACTTGTTGATGCTGGTTTTTTGCCGTGCGAACGGACCTTTGTTTTGTATGGGCCTTGACCTCCTTAGCCTCCCAGCGATTTGAGCCAACTGGCCATTGAATTGAGGATCCAGTGTGGATTCGCCTTCCACTTGGTGATGTGAGAACAATTCAAGAAACCTCGCACTCAGTGCTTGGGTGTATGCATGTTGAGACCACCACTGGTCCGCGCTTGGTACCGTTTGCTCCCAGTGCTGGAAACCTCCGCACAGCTCCTGACTCGCAAAGACACAGCTATTCCCACACATCAGATTTCAGCTCAAGACGTCTCATTTGCGAGTCTTTGGCTTGGGGTCGTCACGAGCGTTCACAAGCAGGTGGTCTTTTTCTGGCAGAGCATATATACGTATAATATATATATATAAGATTGTATAGTATAAGCTATGTGCGAATATACACGGCTATACACCCCCCTCACCAAACTAAACTCGACGAAGCACAACAAAAATAACTTAGCAGCTCAGATCTTGGACATCTAGAGGACCGATCTACATCTGCGTGTTACTAGTAGCTTCTTGTTACTAGTAGCGATGCCAGGAGCCCCTAGTAGCGTCCTTGCTCCTAGTAGCGATGCTAGGAGCCCCTAGTAGCGTCCTTGCTCCTAGTAGCGATGCCAGGAGCCCCTAGTAGCGTCCTTGCAGTGTAGAACGCGAGGCTTGGAACCCTCCGCTTTGATTTGACGCCGAACCCTCCATCGTTGCTCCGGGGAGGCGCGGGCCTTCCGGAGCAGTGCACCACGTCTCTCCGAGGCACAGTGCCAACAGCTGCGGGAAAAGTAGGGAGGGAGCCAAAGAGCCAGAGGAGGACCGAAGCATCCAACATGTAGCCAAGCAGCGCCTCAGGCGGTTCCTCAACCACTTGCTAGCATATGTGTATAATGTGTATATATATAATATGTGTGTGTGTGTCCCACCCTGGACAAAGGGTCTTACCCCACCACTTTTACACAGGCAGGGGGGCAGTGAGTCTCTTTCCATCCACTGCCCAACGAAGACGGTGGTTTGAGACTGTGACATTCGGAGAGGACGCTCTCTGAACGTACCTGCTGAGGTCCTTCACAAGCTGTCACCCTACTTTTCCACGATTTGATTCATGGTGGTTCCACATGATACTTTCCCCACAAACAGGTTTCCCACTGCACTGCAGCTGCTGACCGCCGCCTCCATTTGCGCTTGTCGTGAAACCTGTGTTAAACAATACATTTGAAGCTGACCTTTCCACCTTGCCGTTCCATCGCCTTCTTTCCCATTGAGACAATTGCGTTAACTGAAAATCCAAGTTCGAAGTGTGTCCTGCTCAGCCGTCCCACTCGGGTGCTGAGTGTGATCCCCTTCACAGGGGCGCCGTTCTTGCATGGGAAAGCAACCACCCCAACGCACCACCGATCACTGGAACATCACAGGAAGGCACCGACACCCTCACAGAATCAACCGCCACACCGGCCGCCGGGCCAAAAAACGGTTCTTGAAGAATCCTTCAGATTCCGAACTTCTGATCTCAGATTTCAGCATTCAGTTTTCTTTTCATGTTCTCCAATCATGTGCGTGTTTCCCTGTTCGCTATGTTGCTGCCGCGATTCTTTCATTGACAGAACTCAAGGATGGGCATTACAACTCTTCAGCTTAATTCGAGATGCATGAACACACACCTACTAACAAGCTTACATTTAGCACCACCTTACAACATACTCACCACTGACACCAGAGATGACACCTTCAACAACAACAAGACAATACAACTCGGCACTTCTCCGCTGCTTTTTGCTGCCGCGCCGCGCCATAGCTACGACCACGACATGCATTTTCCGTGGCCCTACGCTCACACCACGCCACCACCATTACCTACCACACAACCTCAACCCACATGGCCGATGCCACAAACATCAACTGCACCCACCTTTCCCTCGACACAACCATCGGCATACCCTCACCCACAACCACAACCTTTTCAACCACCACCGTTGTTGTCCACCCCTACCGCCACTGCACTGACTTACGGCACACCATCCACTTGGACTTTTGTCCAACCATGTCACGTGCCACCGCAACCCACACATCCAACTCCAGTGTTTCCGACAGCAGCACCTCCCCCGTCCTACCTGTTGCCACCACCTCAACCCACGCCACCGGCTGAACTTCCTCCCCCCACTACACTGACACATCCCCCTCCAACACAGCAACAGACTGCGATTGCCAATTATCCATCCACAGACCCCCAATGCGCCATCCCCCAGGGCGTTTGGCAACCCTATTCAGCTTTTCCCCCCGTCACACAGCCTCCACTCCAACCGTTGCCCCCGCCACCGCCTCCACAAACCATCACCGCCTCAACACCAACCCAACCTCCACCTCAACAGCAGCTACCATCGGATCCAACACCACCGATCCAACCCATCCCCACGACTGCCCAGGACAATCCATTACCAGTCCAAAACACGCCTCCACCAGCTACCGTATCCCAACATTCAGCATCCCCATCGCTGGTATCTGCCACACCAGCGCCTGGAACTTCACTACCAGCACCAGACAAACCTGACACCACTGCCTCACCAGCACCGCAACCACCTTCCCCACAACCACCACACAGCAGTCGCCGCCACCACCACAAGAGCCGACGCAAGTCCGACCATCACCACAGAGGACGCCACCGCCACCGCCGCCGACATCGCCATCACCACCATTCCAAGCACCACAGCACAACCCGGCGACGACGGTCGCCTTCAACATCCACCTACACATCTAGCCTTACGCCATCCCGCAGTCGTTCGCCACCACCACCCATTGATCTACGCCCCAACACCGAACACACCAACCCGGACCCCTCTCAATATCCCACCACAGCCGTCCTCCGTCGCCCAATCAACCGTTGGCGACCTCCACCCAACTTTCACACCTTTACACCTGCAGACCAGATCCTGGAATGGCTA